ATAGCTTTGTATTAAACAGATTTTTTATCTATTTTAGGAGACATATTTGAGACAAAGCCGGTGCTTGAACTATGACCGATAAGTCTAAAATTTCTCCTGTACAATGAAAGAGCAATACAAGTGGTAATCTAATGCAAAAAAAAAAAAAAAAAAAAGATCCAGTGAGCTTTCTCACCTATATTTCTATATAGTTCATGACCTTTAATCAGAATTAAAGCAGCCAGAGTTCTGGTAGACTTTAGCAAATGCCATAAAGCTTTTTAATTTGAGGAGTGATGAAAATATCAAACTTTAGAGGATATCCCATCTTTTTATTCCTATTTTTTTTGTCATGTTCAATGTTAACATAGAATATGTTCGCCCCAGAATAAAAATTGTCATTATTTGACCACAAGACAAGGACAAGGACAATAAAGCTCCCTAAAAGCACCATTCTAAGCCTTTTGAAGCTACACTCTTTTAAAAATTAAAGGTTCTATAAGCGATGCTGGGCCAAAAAATGTTGTCACATACATCAAACGTCTCCTCACTATCGGCTAGCTGCCTGTCCCCTAAACACACTGTAAAAAAACGCGGTCTCTGTAGACACCACAGGCTCCACAAACGGCAACAAAAACAATCATGTCTTACCCGGACCACGAAACCTAACAAACAGTGTTCCAGCCAATCACTGGCAAGAAGTATTTGAGGATGGGTCTGGGGGGTTAGTGCGCGTGCACATGAAGGGTGTGTGTGTGAAGGAGAGCAGCGAAGCATCAGAGGGAAGTTTGAAAAATTACCGACACACGACCAAAGAGACGTTGTTCTGAGGAACAAATTAAAAAGAAGAAGGAGTCGGATAAAGAATGTGCGAAGTTCATTGCAATAGGCTAGAACTATGGAAATTAGCTAGAACTATGCACGTTCACAATTATTTCAGGAAGCACGGAAGGGAGGGGGAGGAGATGAGATGCGGAGGAGGGAGGGTCTAGCTCCGATTTGTTTGAAAATATTCGAACGTCAACACCCAGGATCGCTTTGAGAACCTTTAAAGATCCCAAAAACGATTTTTCACAGCAGAATCAGTTTTGGTTCCCCTTAAAATATATGTTTTTCTTAGTGTGAAGAACATTTAAATCTAAAGAACCTTTCCAGTTAGGCTGCATAAACAAGGTCAGCCGGAACCAGGAACATTTCCTATAACACCTAATGTACTCGTTACACACTATATTAAGTTAAGATGAGGGAAGGCAGAAAAGATCAAGTTTAAGCTTATATTTAAGTAAAGACCGAGAGTAAATAGAAAGCACAGACAACACCGTACAACCAACACAAGGTAATGAGAAACTTAAATACACAAAGATAATGAACTTAACAGCTAACAGGTGTGATTGTTAAATGAATATCCATGGTAACTAAGGACTGACAAACAAAGGTACACAGGAAATCAGTAATGGGAAATAAACTAAAAGTCTTTCAAAACTAAAGTAAAACACAAGTGAAAGAACGGATTGAAATGTTATCATTATTGGGATTGGAACAGCTTTGCATTTCTGGGTCACTCCTACATGGAGACCTGGAGCCTTGGTGGTACCTTTAAAATTAGAGTGGCCATGCACCAGTCTATTATACGGCCCATCAGTCTATTGTAATGGATAAAACGTAAGGTAGACCGAGCAGTCATTTTTATAATGACTATGCCACATCTCAAACCTGAATGGACTGCATTTTTTTTTTAGTCACAAGAATGATTTCCAAAAAGAAGATCATTACAGAAAAAAAAAAAAAAAGAATCCATGACAGTGTCTGTTGCCCAATGCTGATCTGTTATTTTTGCTAAATATAAAATAATACACCTCAAAAGATCCAAATTAGGTAGGTGACGGGGGAGATCCGATTAAAAATCTATTAGGAGCCAACTCATGGGATTCATTAGAGGAGAACTTGTTCTGCTTACAAGTGCATTTTCGACTTTAATTATTAATATCTGCTAAAATGAAGTTAGCATCCCCTTTTCAAATTAGTTAGGGTAATAAATCACGTGCATACATGCCCTTTTATGCCCACAGTGTCATTATGGCGTCTGTATGGTGTGTGTTGTGCATGATGAGGTTCAAGCATATCTGTGTTGAGTGTATTGATTATCGTCACTATGTTGGTTCATACAATTGTCATAATAACAAATGTGCTGTAATTTGAGGAATGAATGATGGAGACTGACCTGACTTCGTCACGCAGTAAGTATCCCATCCACTGTATTTCACAGCAGAAGCTGAGAGGCTGGATTTTTATTGAAGTAATGGATGATCCCACTAAAAAAACAAGAAAATGAAAATGGACAAACCCACAACATTATAGAAACAACTAACAGAAAAGGGTGACCGGAAAAATTGACCGGATTTCTCCTTTAAATAATACAAAGGGTAGGTGAAAAGTAAGTTTAACTTGGATTCAAGACTTTTTCACAGATGAGTCATGATTGCCAATTAGCAGAGAGTGTGTAATAAAACTAAAAGACGGTTGACAATTAGCACTTTGATACGTGATGTGATTTTAAGGCAACATGAGGCAACCGCTGGAGGTCTATAGAGGTCAAATTGACAGTTCTCCAATAGTGTCAGGAAAATTAAAACAATCATGAAACATACAGAAATATCAATCTAGAGCTTTCCTCGTCGCCGTGTCCTTCAAATGACTGATGTTAAGAACTTGTTCAGCTACATTGGCAAGATATGATCTCAGCACCACCACCACCACCGCTGATTAATACATATATTAAATTAAATGACACCAGTCACATGTGCCAGTAACATTAATCATGTTTATGATGCGTAGCCCTTTATGTTAAACTCGGCCTGATAGACAGAAACAGCGCAGATGGGCTTCTGGTAAACAGCACAATCGTCTGGTTTGGAATGTAAGATTGAGTTGGATGTTTTTATTGACTAAAATGTAAAAAAAATGTCCTGATTATTTTTATTTTGCTTTCCTTTCTTTTCTTTTTTACCAGTTCTTGCGGTTCTAATCTCAAAGTATATTCTATAACACTGTTCAAACCCAATAAAATAAGCTGGAGTTTGTATTCAGAGTTATTATTCCCCCATACTGCCTTTGCATTACTATTCAATTGGATGCATGATGGAGTGTCGTGCTCAGGTTTTGCAAACTTGACGCAAGCTTGTCCAATATGCCCTCTCAAAACACCTGATAAAGTCTGATGTAATTATTGTGATACACATACAGGGGTTGGACAATGAAACCGAAACGCTGGCCAATGTAGTGTTGGAGATTTCACATCTATGCACGGCCTGTTGCCTTAACTTCAGTGATTTTACAATCTATCAGTAAGAACAGAGTAAAAGTTGAATTAAATAGCACAGCTGTATATAAAATATTGCAATCCACACAACAGAATGGGAGACATATAAGAGTTCAAAAGAGGAAAAATTTATGGTGCACGTCTCACCGGCTCATCTGTGACCAGGACAGCAAGTCTTTGTGGTGTATCAAGAGCTATGGTGTCCAGACACCTAACCACATCCGATAGGAGTAACTGTCGACACAAGAGGAAGTTGTCTGAAATCCAAAAAATCATAAAACCACTGCTACCAAACAAACTGGAGAATTAAATGTGCACTTTTACTCTCCTGTTCCCACCAAAACTTTGTCGAGTTTGTCGAGAGCTCCACAGAGTAAATATTCATGGTTATAGCCAAACCTTTGGTCATTCGTGCCAATGGCAAATGTCAGTTTCAATGATGACAACAGTAAATCTTGGGCTGTGGACAACTTGAAACAAGTATTGTTCTCTGATGAGTCCACCTTCACTGTCTTTCCCATATCCGTGATAGTTACGGTGTGGAGAAGCCCCAAAGAGGCTTAACACCCAGAGTGAAGCACGGGGGTTGGATCAGTGATGGTCTGAGTGCATCAATGTCAAGGACTACCGAACTATTCTGGAGGAACATTTGCACCTAATGGTTCAAACATTGCTTAGCAAGACGTGACAGAATGATTTGATGAACATGAAAGTGACGTTGAACATCTACCATGGCCTGCACAGTCAGCAGATCGAAATATTTTTGAGCCACTTTAGGGTATTTTTGAGGAGCAAGTTAATTCAAAGTCAAAACAATTTCCTCCACTAGCATCACACCTGCCTGTCCTATTCTGGAAGAGAAATGGCTCAAAATCCCTCTGGCCAGTGGCCATTGTGGAGGACTCATTATTACACTCAACAAGGATTCAAGGACACTATCTGTCATTCCCAAGACGAATTGATGCTGTATTGACCAAGGTTTTTAATGACATAAAAAATTGCTATAACTTTAAAATTTGAGTCAAAAGTCGCAATGAGCTGTTTGTGGAGAAAAGCGACTTTCTCAGTTTTCAATTTCATTCCTAAACCCAAACAAAAAGTGCCGTTAAGACGCTCTAAAAGTGACACGGCCGTCCTCTTTGTTACAGCACAAAAAAAGCCAAGAATGAACGTATGAAGGTTTGTTGAAAGATGAGTGTCCAACTAACTGGAACGTATTATCCCTTTCGTAATCATCCAATCAGTTTCCACATTGAAAAAACCCAATAATGTTTGTGAACAAGTAATCGTCTGACGTACCTCAGGAAAGTCATTCAAATGTCCATACACTGCAAAAATTTGCTGCCTTCAATTTTTAAGTACAATCAACTTGGATGTTTGTCATTTAAACTTAAATGACTTTAAGAAATGAGTTTAATCTTGTGTAACATGAAAAAGCTTATTTTGCAATGTAAAAACATATGTTGTTATAACTAGAAAAATTAACCCTAGAGAAGAGCATTTCGCTAAAACCGTAAACATATTGTTTAAATATGTACACTAGTATATTTAAAAAAGAGCATTATAGTTTGCTTATTAATTCAAAATGTGTTTCTAGTTCAAAACGACGGAGCAGATCGAATTATGCATGATGTTGATAATGACAATAATTCAAATATGTTAAAACACCTCATTATAATTTGAAATAAGGCAAAACCAATTATTTGAAAGAGTAAAATTTATTCCATTTCCCCATATTGTCCTCTGGACATTCACTCATTTATCTAATCATTTAAACACATTTCATAAATAGAGATCTGGTCATTTGTGAGGTGGACTGTACAGAATAAAACCTCAAAAGTGAATATTAGAAAAAAAGAAAGAAAGAAAGAAAGAAAGAAATGGGTCACACGTGGATTGTGGGTTACATATTTACAACATACAATAGAAGAGGGAAGAAAAGTAATTAAAGCATTAATGAGCATCTACTGACACAATGCAACTGCAAAGCAACCTGTTGAAATGGCTCGTCAACAGCACATATGGGATATTGTAAAGAGATTTATAAATATATTCAGATGGTTTGCAAGCATGAGTATACAACCTGACTTCTCTAACCAGACAGCAGTTTTCGGCCCCTGAAATAGATTAAGTGCATATGACCGATGGTAAAGAAATCTGCCAAAACAAAATCAGATACAATCAGTGTAGAATCTCTAAATGCAAACAATATCATGCTGTCTAAATCTGCTATGTAATCATTGTTGCTGTACACAAGGATATAATACAAATGAATCACAACAAATATGATGTGAATACTGGCAATCAGAAAAACACAGACCATTTTTATGTTGGAAGAGAACCTGAGACAAGTTGCGTATTGATGACAACATACAATTCCCTCAAATGCGTTAGGAGCTTGTCCATTTACCTTAAATAAAATTAACCTTAAATAACCCCAACCGGAAAGGAAAGAAAATAAAGCGATGTGTTGTAAATGGGCCATACGATGTTTACATAAGGCCCATGATATGGGAAATGACTCAGACATTCTTTAAAAAAATGGAGGAGAATAAAACACCCAAACCCACTCTCACTTGAAAATCATACAGTAATTGCTACACATCTACTAAAAAAAAAAAAAGCTAAACACAATGCTTGGATTGTCTGTTTTCTTATGCTTGATATTCATGATGGCATCATGGAAATCCTTTGCAGGCCCTGATTAAAACATTTGCAGTGTTTTTTTTTGTTTTGTTTTGTTCTTTGTCCTCATCTTTGATATCCTTGAAACGAGATAAGAGTACAATTATTATCTTATCTTACATGTACTGAAGCACTTTACATGATGATTGCAAAAAGTGGTGTATAATCATATCAACCCAAGGCGGATGGAAATCCTGTTCCAAAAGCATATCATAACATGATTATATTCAAACGTTGTCTAAATAAGATCATAACGGCAATGTTTAGAACAGCTAATGTTTACGTAGCAAGCTCTGAAACTGAAGACGTGATTTGACCTTGTTATATTGCATTTCCACAACAATATGATCTTCTTTTAATATTAATCACCTGCGCTCCGACAATAAAGATTTATTGGCATTAAACATTTGCAATTAGCATCTCTCAATCGTAATAACATACCAACATGTACAAATTAAAGACAGCTCCGAGTGCATCATGCGGAAGTCCCGTGGCTTCAAAAATTGCAAAGTATGTACAGAGATAGTCTTTAGAAAACTTATTTTGTGTGTATGTGAATGGGAATGTTTTTTTGTTGTTGTTTTTTTGGAGTGCATATACTTTATGAGGGGGATGAGACGGCCCGTTTTAGTGTAGGTAGCATTCCATCGGAACCCTTCGCAACATCACAAGGGTTCAAATATAGAAAAACCTTGGTTTATATGGCGTGGAAGTACGTCCCTTAAGTGCGTCAGAGCAAAGAAAAAAAAAAGATAATTTTCCACTTGGCAACATGAAAAAATTGGTGATGGGGCAAAAAAAAAAACCCCATTGAAGTCTGAGGCCTAATTCACATAATACAGCCAGTAGATCAAATTGAAAAGAGAGAAAGCAGCGGGAAATATTATCCGTGACCATCGATCGATGGCGTTCACGTCTGTGAGGTCAGGGATTTTGATTTTGAGCTGGGAAGAGCGTCTACGTAGCCGCGGTTTCTTCGACTGCGTGTTCCTTTCCATGCTGTGGCGGCCCTCGGGTCGCGCTGTGCTCTGTTTGCGATACTGGATCCCTGAGTTATCGAACACCATTGAAGTGGAGTTTCGGGCTTCGCTGACGCTGGTGGTGACCTCGTTCCCGGCCACCTCATTGTGGATCTCCAGGGTGGTCAGAAGGATATTTCCCTGGGAATCCACCTGCAAGCCGAGACAATCCGGGTTACCACGGTTTTCTTTCTCTATAAAGCCTACTATTTAGTATGACACTCAACAAAAACACATATGGAAATGATATACCGGTAGATAGGTTCAATAAACTTTTCCATTGAAAATTGATTTGATTTTTCAGTAACACTTTACAATGAGGTCTCATTTGTTAACTAGTAAGTGTAATGTATTAACATGTAACTAACAATGAGCAATATTTGTTACAGATTTTATTTGTTAATGTTAGTTAATAAAAATACCGTCGTGGTAAGACTTTAGTTGAAGGGGTGTGCATAAGACTGACATGACACCTTCATAACCATGACATTTATGAAGTGACTTTTGCTCATGACATTTTGAATGCAAATATGACATTGTTTAAGGTGTCTTTGTTATGACATCTTGACATAAACCATAACATCATAACCTGTCAGTGTCTTTGTCATGACAACTTGACATAAAATTGACGTTAAACGGTCATGTGGTTGGCTTTGACATTGGCTGTCACGAGGCCATTTTAACTGTGTCATGAATATTTTTTGTGACCTCAACTACAGTGGTACTAATTGAATTTGTCATTAAAAAGTTATAATGGTTTCATGACAGCCAATGTCAAAACCAACCAACATGACAGTTTAATGTAATATTAACCAATAAAGCTAGGTGGTTTCTTAAGTTTGATAATTAATCTGCTCTTTCATGTTTATGACAGGTTGTGTTGTCTTAGTAATGTCAAGTTGTCATGACAAAGACACTGACAGGTTATGATTTATTGGTTTATGTCAAGGTGTCATAAAGACATCTCAAACAATGTCATATTTGCATTAAACATGTCATAACTGGGCGAATGACACTTAATGACAGTTGTCACAAACATGCATAAAGCTTCCTTCATATTCATAACATGTGTCATGCCATGATTATGAAGGTTTCATGTTAGTCTTCAAGTAAAGTGTTACCAGTAGATAACTAATATTAACTAATAAAACCTTTATGTAAAAAGTTACCTACTTTTCTGACTATTATTTCATATTTCAGACTTTACAGGTTCCAAAAAAAAGTCTTTAAAAGGTGAAATTAAAAAGTAAATGCCCCAATAAAACCCCCTAAACTACTTAGACATGACCAAAAACAATATACTTTTTTTTTTTTTTTGTAAGGGAAAAGGTTTTTTGAAAAGTGAGGATTTTGTGGTTAGGCATGTTAGACAAGCACAATGGAGGCGTTCACATGACATAAAGAATGAAAGAGCCTTCAATGCGAAGAGTCAAGGGTGCTTTGTTCTTCAAAACAGTTCTTTGCACACAAATGAAAGACAACTAGATGTCCGTTACATTATGTATCCACTTGGAATGCTCACAAGAAAATAATGATAATAATAATGGTATACTGCATATGTAAAGCACTGCCATAGACACACGACACAGACTGCTGAAGGGCTGTTTTCCAGTACAACATACAGAATTCAACAGAACAATCAATGGTACTACAAATCATGAACAAGCTAATGCATCATTGAAGAAACAATATGACGATGTGAGATGCTCTAAACAAGCCACACATTTCAAAAAGCAATATTCTGTATAAGGTTGTACAATTGCGATGCCAAATCATATTTAGGTTATAAATGGCAGATTTGTTAATGAGCTGAATCTGAACTAGTGTAAATAAGAACAAGTTGGGCAAGTTGTTAACCTTACAAAAAACCTTACATAAGGCGTGATACTTTAATGTAACCTAGGTGACATATGGGATTTTGGCGTTTTTCCCCCACTCTGGCCTTCCATCCACACTAAGACGGCATTTTTGTCCTGGCAAAACTGAGCTTTTTGAAAACGCTTTCCTAAGTGGATAAATTTGAAAATATCATTTTGTGTAATAGTGTGGACTGTGAAAACGGAAGTATTTGTAAACAATGATGCATGTTTAGTCATGTGATGCATTTTGAACCAATAGTTGTATGTTTATACCTCTATTGTGCCTGGTGCTATTGACTTTTACACTGTTGATAAAGATATGTTTCTTTGTTCACTCTTCATATCACAGTCCTGCAAAGATTATGCAATTGCTGTCCTGTGACAAAACATGAGAGCAGTTGCGTTTTAGACTAAATATATAATGGGGAGTGTCTGGATGCATCAGTGAATGGTGAGATATTTTGCTAAATAAAATGATCCTGCCAGAAGAATAGCATGTCTGTTCCATTTGTATAATCTCGGTGAGCTTTTATAAGGTTTAACACATGCGCCTCAAGGTGAATTTAGCGTTTTCCGACGTTTCAGTGTGGCTAAGAAAAAACGTTAGTGTGGACGGAGAGCGTTTTGAAACAAAAACGCCGTTTTCAAATGTATACGGATTAATATAGATGTAGCCTAAAAGCAATATATTTGTCACATTCCTATTTTTATCAACACAAAAGTGTTTATTAAATGGCGCATACACAGACCGCATGTGGAAACAGCAAAAGGAAATAAACACACAAATTTACATCCACAATACACACTAGCTGATTTCAAAAATAGAAAACAACACTGTAAACACCAAAAAAACCCTAAATCTCGAACATGTAACAAAAGTGTTTGAGTGAAATGAGTCCTTACAAGTCATGAGTGAAAAAAAATCTAACTTTTTTTTCCTCTAGTTAATTAATTAAAATAACAGCATGAAACGAGAAGAGGAAAAAAAACTCCCATTGCTAAATGACAGAGGTAATTGCTATTTTGCTGAACAACAAGCTCAGGTTATTTCTCAAGAGGAGGTCCCTCCATGATATATTGTTTATTTACTGCAACCTCTGAGTCTCTGCAGTAATAAATAATTCAGAAATACATTCTTGCAAAAATACCATTACAGCTCACTTCATAATCTTGATCAGTGTTCGTGATGGGGCAAATGAGAGAGCAGCAACATAGGTCGAGTACGGTATATAGTTGTGTTATGAGATGGTGTGTACTGAACCAGAATGTCTAACTGAATGAAGGACATGACAAGTAGATTTCATGGTAATCTGGCTGACATTTCAATTTAGAAATCACACCATTACATATGGAGAAAGATAAATGCAAGATGGCACAAAAGAACAGTGGTTCTCAACTAGTTTTGATTCAAAACAGATTTATTGGACATCAAGTCCAAAATATTTTTACAAAATTGAATGTCTCTACAATCAAGTATAACATGAACTGAATAAGCAACATTTAAAATAAAATAATGTAAAAATGTATATGACAATAGTAAAAAAATATGTGTTATTTCTTGAATTTTGATGGTTTCATGCTCTACACTAAAAAGAAATCTATCTAATCTGGTCATCTTCTACCAAGTGACTAATATAATAGAGTCTGATTGAACACTCAGCCTTGAACATTAATAATAAAACATATGGGAAGCATTTATTCCTCCCCTTTAAAAGTTAATATAAACCTATTTTTTCGTTGCTTTGAAACAGACCGACGACCCACCAGTTGAGAAACACTATTTTGCACTAAATGAGAGGGAAACTGTAGCTATGAGGATTTCAGGACGAAGCTTACAAACGTTGACAAAACAGCCAGCAATACACACACTCACCCCTCGTGAGTGACGGTTGCCTTGTACCTGATTGGACTGTTTAACAGATGATGGCTTGCAGTTGCCTCCCTCTTGAACAGACTGGTCAGAAAAGCACAAACAAGAGTTTGTCCTCCATCTGAGCTTCAGCACAAATGCTTTAACCTCAAAAAATCTCAACTTGAGACTGGAATTTGTCTTTTGATTCAAAGAAAAAATGACACGTATTTCAGGACATTGCTGTTGTTGCGTAACTGTTCACACGCAAATGTCAGTGGCCATATTTCTGACACAATATTCCACAATTAAACATTTGCAGGAGGAATACTGACATTTTTTTTCAGGACTGGGAATGACCTAAATAAATAAAGTAAATAAACTGAAAGAAAGTGCAGCATTTTCCAGATGTCAAAGTAGGAAAAGCACTGTACAACTCAAAGAAGTCTAAAACTTTATTACAGTTACTTATGAAACAGGAAAAAAAAAACTAGAATGTGATGTTTCATGTCTTTGTATCGTTTCCCCCAGGACTACCATACCACAACCTTTTATTTTAAAAAAGAGAAAGAAAATCTAACACTAATTCTGTAGCACACAAAGCAGTCATTCTTCACACTGGCATCGTGACAGTTAAAAAGGACTTACCTTGTTGCCGTCATACTTGCTGCGGTCGTTATTGGCTTTCTCAGCTTTCTCGGCCAGTTTCTTCTGCATCTGAGGTCCTCGTCCGAAGAAAATATAGTTGACGAAAGCATATTCCAGCAGAGCCAAGAAGACAAAGACGAAGCAGCCCATCAGATACATGTCTATGGCTTTAACATATGGGATCTTCGGAAGTGTTTCTCTCAGATGGGTGTTGATGGTGGTCATGGTCAGCACAGTGGTAATACCTGTATGGGAAATATTTATATTTAAAGTTATTTTAACCCTTTCCCAACCATAGATGAGTTTTTTTTAACTACCTTTACTTAACATTTTCTTATATTGAAATTGTTTATTTATTGTTGTACTTGCCAGCTGCAGAAAAAAGAAACAAGCGATAGAACATTGCACATGTAGGATAATGTGAATCAACATTAAAGAATTAAACCCACAAAGAGGTATATGACTGTAAAAGCTTTGGGGGTGTTGCTGGACTCGATCTACTGTGGGTCTGGATCATCGTTCTGAATGCGAGCCAGATAGTCTTTGACAAAAATGAGATTTTCTCAGGTTTTTGTGCAAAATGAAACTTACCCACATTCAAGTGTGGATAAAAAAAAAGAACGCATGAAGCTAAAATAAAATGGTTTCTTTTCCTTTTATTTTTGTTTAAAAGCACAGGCTCTGTTCTTTCTTTTCTTATATGTGACCCTGGATCACAAAAGCAGTCTTAAGTTGTACGGGTATATTTGTGGCAATAGCCAACAAAACACTGTATGGGTTAAAATTATCGATTTTTCTTTTATGCCAAAAATCATTAGGATATTAAGTAAAGATCATGATCCATGAAGATATTTTGCACCTTTCCTACCTAAAATATATCACAATTTTATTTTTGTGAGTGAATTCAGCACAATCGCCAACAGAAATTGAAACATTTAAAGGCGATTTTCGTAATATTTAGATTTTTTTGCACCCTCAGATTCACGATTTCAAATAGTTGTGTTCGGCCAAATATTGCCCTATCCTAACAAACCATAAATCAATGGAAAGCTTATTTATTCAGCTTTCGGGTAAATCTCAATTTTAAAAAATGGACACATAAGAGTGAAAGTGTTACTCTTAAAAAGAGTGAAATAGTTTTTGTTACAGAAAAAAGAACATAATATGACATGGGGGTTAGTAAATAATAACAGAATTTTCATTTTTGGGCGAACTATCCCTTTAAACAGTCACAATGTATGGTATAGGAAGCAAACGTTAAGGTTTACACAGACAGCATGTCTTAGTACAACCAAGTGTAAGCAATTTGAAAGTACATGCTGATGGAAGGCAGAACACACTGACTGAAATTTCAGGGAAGGATGAAAGCGCTCTCAGTTGACACTTCTGTTCCAACGCCCACCATGAATCTGGACTCTGAGAATGGGTGCTACAGATTGAGTGCTGTCACAATGTTTAAAATGCCAGATCCGAGCCCTGCTTAGTAAACAGAATTACACAACCACAACACTGTCAAATCTAGCATTGAATAATCCACTTATGATGGCAGTAGCCTGGTTACCTTCATAATTGATTGCAATACTAAATAAAATGCTGTTTTATCCCATAACTGACAGTCTCTGAACCTTTAATTGCCACTACAAAGCCACAACAGTGCACCCTTTTGTATATTATACATTATGTGAGTTCTGACCTAATTAGCTGGTTAGATAGGATTCATTTGTTCAGAGGCCAGAACTGAGAAATCGAGAATAACATACAAGGTATTAAACAGCATGACTGATCAACTTGGCCACAGCTGAAGAGACCAGCACTGTTGTTGTTTTTCTTCCCTTTAGTGTCTTCCTCCCTTTCTCCAAGCTTTCCCACATGCTATTCATATTTAACAGAATGTCTTATTATATTATATAAATAGACATTTTTATTGATTCTATGCTGTGATACTCTATTCTGTTTATTCTGTCAATCCTGAGTCAGTATCACTGCCAGTTCAAAGAGGAGCGATACTCCAACTGCTCAAACACCCGCTCAAATATGTACAAACAATCACACACACACACACGTAGAAGATAACTAATATATACTGTTCAAACTCCTACTCTATAAAATATCTCCATTATTTTTCAAAACACCAGCAATCTGCTATTATTCAGAGTTCTCTCAAGTGATGTCTTCCATGTGTGGTGAAGTTTGGGAAATGATGGTTGTAGATAAGAGAACACAATAATAAACTGGCATGAAAAAGGATGTAGTTATACAATGTTTGTGGAGACACTAAAAACAGCAGAAAATGTGTATAGACAATTGGCAGATATAAAGTCAGAATTGCGTGACAAAGTCGCAATAACGTGTTGCGCAATTGTGAGTTTAGTTCTTTAGCTTCCATAGTACACAATTTAACTTGAAAGTGCAGAATATTTGGCAGTGTAGATTTGAAAATCAAAAATCGTTATTGTTGAATCACGGATGCTACATCAGTCACTTTGCCAAGAGATCTCTATTATTTATTTATCTATTATCTCTATTATGAATTATTTAATGTACATGTATCAGACAGAGAGAAACAGGCATAGAAGAATAAGGCTACAGGTGAGGAGGTCTTCATTCCAGATTTCTCTGTTCACCATTTCTCTATTCCCTCACACCATCATGGAGCTGTAAATGGTTTCTCTATGTTCTCATGCCTTTATGTTTCTCCTTCCTCACCTCGTCATACCTTTATGTTTCTCCTCCCTCACCTCGCCATGCCTTTATGTTTCTCCTCCCTCACCCCCTCATACCTTTAGGTTTCTCCTCCCTCACCCCCTCATACCTTTAGGTTTCTCCTTCCTCTCACACCCTCATACCTTTATGTTTCTCCTCCCTCACCCCCTCATACCTTTAGGTTTCTCCTTCCTCTCACACCCTCATGCCTTTATGTTTCTCATCCCTCACCCCGTCATGCCTTTATGTTTCTCCTCCCTCACCTCGTCATGCCTTTATGTTTCTCCTTCCTCTCACACCCTCATGCCTTTATGTTTCTCCTCCCTCACCCCCTCACGCCTTTATGTTTCTCTGAGTTGGTACAGTAAGAATTGAGCTTATATTCACCACTCTGGGACTTACAAGTTCCTTGTAAGGTAGAAAAACATGTTACTTATGTTTAAAAATGGAACGTATACCTCATGCGTACACATAGTACAATCCACATTCCCTCTGTGTATACATTAGTGATACATTTGCCTCAGTTGAAACATTCCTTTCCTTGTAAAGAACATGCCAACTGGAGTACCATCATTAGTGGAACATCTCTGCTCAGTGAACGTTGCATTGCACACATACGCAAAATATATAACTCTCCCAGCTCTCTGCTCAGCACTCATGTGCCAACATACTCTGAAAATACATTATGGAAATGAATAAAGAAAAAATAATACTAAAAAATAACATTAAACAGTAAATGTTTGTTCTTCAGTACATCTACATATATTTTGAATTTTTATTTTTCCACTAACCTGACAAACTTTGTCAAAACCGGTGATTATTTTATTGTCAAAAGCAATTTTATCAATCTATTAACTTGTAAACATGACTTTCCAGGCAGACTGCTAAAAATCCCTGTAGGCTTGCACCCCCACAACTTGTGTGAAGTCAGCCAATCAGATTGGAACTTGCCAGATTGAGAAAGTGCTTTCCAGTTTTTTGAGCAATATGTATCAGTCAGATGGTCAGCGAACAGACTGTGGGCGGTCTGAGGACGTGCCGTCTGAAAGTGAGTCTAGTTGCGACATACTGTATCTCGATGTAACTTATCACTGCTTTCAAGGAGATTTTTTCCTTATGAATAGCCTTGATGTAGAAACAACAACAACAACAACAACAAAAATCACTGTATGTGTGCAAACAACGTCAAAGACATTTTTGAGGATAAAAGGAGAAAACACGATGGGAGTGGAACGACGATGAGAGTGACAGAATTAAAACATTTTTAGATGAACTATCCCTTTAACACTTGTGGGGATTTTTTCAGCCTCTGCTCTGCATATTTGGTAGTTTTACCTTTCTGCACATAGACATAAATCTGCTTTACGAACATCGTCTCTCGGTTATCGCTGCCACTCAAATCAGTATGTTTGTTGCTGACTCTGCTGTAGCTGTGCTGGGACTAAAGTGTGAATATGCCTGACTGGAGCAAGAAATGGAACTGTCAATATTTCTGTTTCCCTGCAAAGAACCAACCTCTTCCACAACAAACACAGCAAGACTTCATCATAGATGAGATCATTTTTTAAACAAACTGCCAAATCCTGTCCCAAATCACATAGCAAAACTACTTTAAGATCTCTCCACAGAGAAAGTGATGAGAGTCCACCCAGACTATGACAAGCCAGATCTTAGCTTAGATCTCCAGCACAAAAGTTATACACTGTTACTTTGGGGTTTTCCTCTAATTAAAGTGTAATTAGTGCAGGACAGGGGGCCTAGTCTTCGTCACATTCACAATCCCCAAGGAACGCCTTTACCTCGTTAACAAGAAAAGGGTCTTGTCGACTGACTGCAAAGCAGCCACGTCCTAGTTTCTACCCTGAGCAGCATCACATTAACATTTAAAGTTACATTTAGCACAATTCCAGGAATCACAATCCAGGCACTTTGCGACCATGACTTTGACTGGCCAGAACATCTCAGACAGTGTATTTTAAAAGAATTGACATGCTTTTCTTATTTTCTCCTGTCTCTTGACTATTTAAATTGCTTTAATAATTTAGTGTTCACCCTAATGCTGCAGTGAACAAGTTTTCCACTGAATATAGTGATTTCTGTTCAGCATTATGAGGTGACCATTCTTTTCATGGATTTTGACAGACATTATGCATATTCTAGCAGTCTTCCCCAACCTATTTCGTTTTATGCATCCCCACAGCCCCATCAGTAAGTCTCAAGAAGACCCTCATCGACCAAAAGAAGAAAAAAAGGAATTGGTAAATTTTTCATTGCAGTGGATATCAATAGGCCTATAGCATCATTAGTCGAGTTTGCACTACATTTGTCTGATGGCTTTATATAGGCTACATACTGTACATACATTCATCTAAACAATTTATACACAGCTTGTTTTGCTTCATTGGTTTTTAAAATTAGTTCATGTGTTAATGTATATACGTTTTTTTAAGAAGTCTCATACTCTAAAGGCTTCATTTTTTAAACAGTAAAAACAATTATATTGTGACATATTACAATTTAAAATAATGTTTTTCTATTGTTAATATATTTTAAAATGGAATTCATTCCTATTCATTCCTAAGCAGAATTTTCAGCAGTCATTATGCTAGTGTTTAGTGTCATATTTTGAGGATTCTTTGATGAATTTTGTTTTATTGTAAATATCTTTTTCGTTGCTGAATTAAAACAAATTTTACAGACCCAGAAAAGAATCAATGAATAATCAAGCAAATAAAGTATAATACATACATTTTTATTTTATTATTATTTATTATTTTATTCTAATAAAATAATTTTACATTCTACCTACTGCTGAAGAACTGGTACTGATTGGTTGGGAATAGCTGCTCTGTATTAAATGACCGGTCTGTCATAAATTCATAAGCTGACAGAATTAAGTGTACAGAGCACCAACAATTTGCCTGGGAAAATGTGAGCTGTCATAGAACTGGACAAGTTCAACTAAAATTAGCATGTCTAGTCTTTCAGACCTTTTATTCACAAGCTTTATTACTAGAGTTGAATATTAGAACGTAGAATACAATTTAACAACCATAGAGATCAAAGAAAATGGTTGGCACTTCACTCCTACTGTGTGTTCACTGTAAAGAGTCCCCAGAGTGAGAGAGGACATGTGTGGGCAGATGGATGCCTGTCCTAGCTTACATAAACTCAAAAGCAGCATTCTGGTGCAAAGAAGAGAGGGCTGCACATGGAGCACATTGCATTGATTTGTGCATGACCAGGTCACAGCAAGGGAGGATCAAACTCAGCTCAGTACAGAGAGTTCAGCGCAGAGGAGTTACCTAACCAGAACAAACATACCTTCACACAGACCTGTCTGCAGTGAATAGTGTGGGATGTCGTTCTTTTGAGTTAGACTTTTGAAAGTGAAACGCACAACATCGGCAAACACTCAAGATCTATATCAGAGTTCTTTCAAACACTTTGGCCAAATGCGTTTAGTCAAAGTTCCTTTAAAGAAATAGTTCATCCAAAAACGAAAACTTTATGTACATACCTTTTTATGTACCAAACCAGTACATTATGGCTTCTGTTCAACAAAAGGTGAATTTTTGAAGAACAAAATGGCCACTCTTTTCAATAAAATGAAAGTAAAGATGATGAATATCCAAAATGACAAAAAAATCATGTGGCTAAATTGACTTCTATATTATGTTCGTGTTAAATCTTGACACCAGTTCTGGCATTCACAAGTGTTTTAATTCGAGTTTAGGTAAGAATTAGCAACACATAAATTATCCCAATCTGTAAAATGGTTTGTTTAAGAATCTGACGTCCCCACATAAATCTATAGTATGGGTTTCAGATTAGATCTGGTATGATATTTTTATGCCTTTGGGTTCTTTTTAATTCTATTCATTGTAAATGATCCATTCTTTGAAACTGCATTGTGTTCCATCCATGCATAAAAAGGTCAAATAGGCTTAGAATGACATGAGGTGAGTAAATGATGATAGAACTTTCAACTATTCCTTTAAGGCAAGCCAGTAAACTTTTTTAACAAGGAAAAGGAAGTATAGGACATGATGATTATATCAAATGGGAATTGAATGAATCATAAAAAGCATGCCAGAATGGAGTCAGACTCAATGCAAAGGTATTAGAAATGTAACTCATAAAGTGCTTTAGTCATTACCCTATCTTGAGATCTTACAATAATCTCCCCAGAAAAGATCTACACTCCTGTTCACGTCAGCAAAACAATCGGAAGACATCATTGAAACATCATCCACATCATTCAATATGTTTGCTTCTTGCATCATTTGATAACTTCCTTTCTGAAATGAAAGGAAGTCCTTAAGTGTGCTGCAGTAATGCAGTGCGAGATATAAGGCCGGGGCCGGCCGTATGTGGATGCAGAGAGTGGATGGAGTCAGAGAGGGAGTGGAAAGTGGCGAGACAGAGGCATTTAAGCCAGAGATTCATCTGTGCTACAGCATGCATCGGGATTGAAATGGAAGTTAAATGTAATTGTTTTCTAGCTACATTGATCCCTTTGTTTTCATTTGGCTGCCTGGCTGTGGGAGGACAGCAGAAAAAGACAAAGACAAAGAAAAGAAAGAGAGAGAGAGAGAGAGAGAGAGAGAGAGAGAGAGAGAGAGAGAGAGAGAGAGAGAGAGAGAGAGAGAGGGGTGGGGGTCCTTATAATGATGCTTAGAGGCAGGTGAGATGGGTGGTATATGTGGGGGGACCCAGGAGACTCTTCCCTCCCAGTGTAAAGTGTTCTCATTTCTCCGCTTAACATGGTTAATGAGGACAATTTCCCTAAAGAAGGCCCATATCCAACATATCACATCCATCTCAAAGAGCTGCACCTGGGTGCATGAACAAACACACTCTCACGCACATTAAACATGTAATTACAAAGATATTGTACTGCACTCTGTGATCTATCTCTGTGATTTAAAATGGCACAGATGATAATTTGCTACATAAAAGACTCTACAGTAGAAGCTTTTGTAAATCTGAGCTCATTCGCCCTAGTCTGGTAGTATGTAGGCTGGAGGCAGTGAGACTGAAATTTGGTTTATAAGGTGCTCACAGTAGCTCTGTTTCACAACCAAGTGAGCTGCCTTGCTGTCTTCTGGGCAGCATCCTGACTGAAATGGAACAAGCTGCTTAAAGTAGTTCAGCTAGCTTGTGGTAAAACGTAGTAAGCAATACTACAAGCAAATAATAAAAAGTAATCAACTGCACTGTAAAAAAAAATCCGTTAAATTTACAGGAAAACTCAGGCAGCTGTAGTTACCAGCGGTTTCCTGTTAAAAGTACGGTATCAACATTTTAGGTTTAACAGACTTTGACCGTATTTAATTTTACAGCAATAAACCGTATTTCATTATTTGATATAATGTTAATTTACTGACATTTTGAAGTATCAATAAGAGTCAAATGATCAATCAAAGCTCATCATTATCAGCTCTTCCACAAGAGAGTTCATACTACTATATAGAAGCTGCACAGTCTCATTCACACAAACATTAACACCATCATGGTAACATGTTGAAATTTTAAAAATGAAATAAGATTTAATTTAACAACGTTAAATGTAACATAAAACCCTAAGGAACATAACTGATAAAAAAAAAAAAAAAAACTAAGAAAATTATGAATAAACAGTTAAAATACATTAAATGTGAAGTGTCACACAGGGAATTGTGGGAAAGTCAATTTACATTTTTTCACTGTAAATTATACAATGACTTCTTCTTTTTCACTTCCAAAGTAAAACTACATTAAATGTACCATTATATATATCACAGTTATTTACCGTATATAGTAAGGAAACTTTCTGTTAACCAATTAACAGTTTTTCACTGTAGCATTTTTACAGTCTTTTACTGTTAAAATCACGATCATTTTTTACAGTGTACATGAAAGCTATTTTAATAAAAATTACACATAGTACAGAGATACATATGATATTATTAAATTATACTATAAATACTGTTCAAAAGTTTTGGTGTGATTTTTTAAAATATTATTACAATTTAAATTAGTTTCTATAGTTGAAAATGAAATTTATTCCTGTGATGGAAATGTTGAATTTTGCATTAATCCAGTCTTCAGTGCCACATGATCCTTCTAAAATCATTCTAATATGCTGATTTGGTAATCAAGGAATATTTTAAAATATTATTATTAATGTTGAAAACAGTCGTGCTGCTCAATATTTTTGTGGAAACGTGATTCTTTTTTTTTCAGGATTCTTTGATGAATAGCAACAGCAATTTTTATGACAATGTAAAAGTCTTAACTGCGGCTTTTGGTCAGTTTAATCAATCAATCAATCAATCAATCAATCAATCAATCAATCAATCAATCAATCAATCAATCAATCAATCAATCTATCTATCAATCTATCTATCTATCTATCTATCTATCTATCTATCTATCTATCTATCTATCTATCTATCTATCTATCTATCTATCTATCTATCTATCTATCTATCTATCTATCTATCTATCTATAGTCACATAAAGCACACAGGAGACCAATGTGATACTCTAGCAAGTATAAAACGTACATGGCACAGATATTTACATAAATGTAAACAGTAAATTCAGTAAAAAAGATTCCTTGACATTTGGACAAAATGTCGCAATGGGAGAATGCTTATGAGATGCTTATGAAAAGACTGTTTATGCTGGGTTTTGAAACAACTTTTGTGTCCTGTGAATCACTGCAGCTGGTTAGATTCTGTAGCTTTTCGGGCAAACTGTGTCACTCCTCATTCTGGAATAACAACATCAGAGCGAAGACACACACTGAGAACTGTCTCTCTCCGTGAGCAGTCGCTGTAGTGTGTCGAAGCAATGGGTTTGTGGCTACCTGGGTCTACCCTGTTCCTTGTTAAATGATGCATGTACCCCTACAATATCTGTCTGTGTATGTGCCTGTGTCTGAGCTAGTGTATATGTGTGTGCCAGTGTTTGTCTGTCTGGAGGCAAGATCCAAGAAAAAGTAAACCAAAGGGAGGGTGAGGACTCTGAGGAGACCTGGAGTGTGTATAGAAAAAGTTACAATTCAAAGAGAATTCTGAATGTTGGTGTTCTAGTTATTGGAACATCCAACAATGTGCTGTTAAATAAAGCATGCACTTCCAGAGTGGAAACGACAGAGGACATCCATCCTGTCAGATGCGTAGAGGACATGCTAATGAATAAATAGCATACCTAATGCCACTCTGGCTGCTGAGGCATCATAGTTGATCCAGAAGGAGACCCAGGACAGGATGGTGATCAGGATTGAGGGCATGTAGGTCTGCAGGATGAAGTAGCCGATGTTTCTTTTTAGCTTGAAACTCAAAGATAGTCGAGGATAGGCACCTGTTTAAGAAATGAGAAAGATGGTTTAAGAGAACGAAAAAGAAAGAGAAAAAAGTAAACAGGGAGTCACAAGAGTGAGAGAAGATGGATATTTATTTCAAAGAGCTTTGGAGCAATTCTTTACATTTTACATCAGTAGCATTGGGAGCATGGGTAGCTTTGTTGCTATGGCAACAAGCAAGCGTGGACAAAAAACAAAAAGCGTGATTTGTTGCAGCTTAGCCTTGAGCACAAACACCACAGTGTGAGAGGAGACAAAAAAGAGAATGAAATAGTGAGTAAATATTAATGTTAAAGGCCCTCATGAAATCAAAACTGGACGATTACGGCTTGTAGTCCAAGTCTGTTAGTTCTGAAGCCTTCTACAATTGAAAATAGAGAATGTACTGCGCCCTACTACAGAATAATATCCTGTCCAAACTTCTCGCTTCAAATACAAATAAGTCAGTACATATTTTATTTAAAAGCAATATTAGAGGCAATATTCACCCCACGGAATTGAATTAGTTTAAGGGCATACTTGGTTTAACTACTTATATCATCTGTCCAGCACGTTCATATTCAACTCTATTCATAATTCAAATAATCCCAAAAATATCATATCAATATATAAACACGTAAACTATCTTTTACGCTTACAGATGAAATTAAAATCAACAAATAGAAAATAAAAACTTCATACAAAGGCAACTTTGCCCTCATATTCAAAATTTTAGGAGTATTTTTGTAATATTCAGTGGCATTTTCGTTCCAAGCCCCAAGACAGGCCAGGAAAATTTGCTTGTCAAGATGTTTACTTCAGGTGCGGTCACATTTACAGTTGTTTAGTGAATGTTTGTGAACAAAATCCAGTAATTTCAATAGAAATCCACAATACGGAGAACTTTCCCCACGCAGTTTGCAATGGGAACCTCACAGACTGCTGCTTGGTTTAAAAGTAACTTCTGTGTGAGGTGTGCCTTAATACTTAAAGCATGTCATCTTATGATACTGACATGATGCAAAATTAAGCAAGAGTGATCTGAACCATGCATCTCTGCGTAGTTATTTATAGAGATGAAAATGCAAATAACAAGCATTCAGCCTAGATACACATGCACACCCAAACATGCATACAACCTATGAATAAATCGCACATCCTACACACATATACCACAACCTACAGATGCACATTATGCAACCTGTACTCACATTACAGTCTATAAAAATAAGTAACCTACGTGATGAACTACCTACACACATCAGACTGATTGCTTGTGTGATCTGTGTGGAAAGGTTTTGTTTGTACATAAGATATGTACAAACATCAGCATCTATAGAACATTCCTCTCATCTTCTATTGGTCAGAGATACAGATAGTCCAGCCCCTAAACTCACACTGTTGGTTAATGTTAATGGTACTGTGTTAAGATGGGTATGTTAAAGGGTTAGTTTCGAGGATTTTAATCCAAATCTTTTGAAAAGACACGATCGCTTTAAATTACGCTTTTTAGGCTTTTATACACGATTATATATGCTCAAGCATGCTTGTTTTACGCATGAGGTTAACTTTTGCGTCACTCCAGCATTTTTGAGCTTCAACAAGAACCAAGAAAGTTTGTTCTTGTGCATCAAGTAAGTAAAGTTAAGCTTCCGTTTACCATACTTGAGTGCTCTATGTACATTTGCTGATCAATGTTTATAAATTAAATCTGTTCATATAAAGTGATCATGCTCTTTAGAAGACTTGAAATAAACCTCTCAATTCATATGGATTTATTTTACAATCTCTTTATGTACGTTTTGATCCGTAAAGGGCAAGGATTGACATTAACACCCGCCAACCCGCGGTGGATTTCAGCAGTGGCGTGTAACACAGTCACTCCTACTAGCCACTTTGGCTATAGCCACTTTGGCCAATATATACATTTTTTTTAAGTGTAATCTTTAAAGAAACCCATCTGAAATAATAAAGTAAGTGGAATTTATAGTGTTGTCAAAATAGCATTTTTTTCGATACATATTGACACTGAAATTTCTATAAATACTCATTTTCCACAGATTAGATGCACATAGATGCACAGATACCAGTAGCAATAACTCTCTGGCAGCAATTTGACACACAAACCCGCCTCCCCTCACTCACTCATGCTCTCGTTGAATATTGTTGGTGTTACAGGGCTTGAATTTTGCCGTGGAATTGTGCGTATTGCACATCATTTTACATCATTTCCCCCCCATGGTATCGATGTCAAAATTGTGGCCAGTGAAAACGCTAATTGGCTAGTAACTTTGGAAATTCATTAGCAACAGTGGCTGGTGAGGAAGAAAGTTAATGTCAAGTCTCGGTCAAGTGTTTTGGAAGAAAAGACTTTATATTCAGGGAACGAGATCTTTCAGATTTCATTAAAAATATCTTCATTTGTGTGTTGTAGACGCTGAAAGTCTTATGAGTTTGGAATGACATGAGATGACAGAAATCTCGTTTCTGCGTGAACTATCCCTTTAAGGTCAAGGTTTGGCTGGTTAACCAGGGTCAGTTAGCCTCTACTATATACAATTTTGACCCAACATGTGTTTCCCTCCTAGAAAAAGCTCATCATGTCATCAGCAATATAGTCAATCCTCTTCAATCGCAACTTCATGATTCCCATAATCCTTTTCACTATGTGCAGAAGATAGCCAGTCTCATTAATTCAGGGTGGGGAATTGTCATTACAACGCTGCCTCTATGAACGCCTCAGTTTTAGAAGAGAATAATTTATGCAATGGGTCTTCTACCTCATGAATATGTGATGGTTTGTATAAAGTGGCTGTTTTTCCATCTCTGACTCCATCTCTCACTTTCTCCCCCCTTCCATCTCTGCTCTTTTCTTTAGAAGCTTGAGGAAATAGAGTGGTAATTGCTCCTTCATTATTACTGGTCTGTTCTATCATGAGGAATAAATATATTTGATGCACAGGCCCCAATTAGGCAGCTTTTCAAATAAGTGGTAGATGGGAATGTCAATCTCATGAGGGTGCGGGCAGAAAACAAAAACCAGAGAAAACTTAAAAAAAGAAAAAAAAATGATTTGTAGTGTTCACCATTTTTCTGTGCTGTAAATCAACTTGATAAAAATCTTGATCAGAGTTAAAAAAAATAAATCCTGAACACTGTTATTCTACACTAATGGTATGTTTTATACAGGTAGACTTCAGACTTTTGGTAGAAATCTCCCATATCTCAGATCTAAGCTTTACACTTTCTCACTTGTGTAATTACATGACTTGCAAATTACACTCGTAAAACAACACATTTCACTATTTCAGTATTTAATCAATTATACTGTTATTGACTACGTAGCAAGAACTATAACAAATGATTCGGGTACCCTACCCTGATGCGAACAGCTATGCTGAAACCTGTCTTACTCAAATAATAAAAAAATAAGAGCTAGACTCATAGCCACGTTTTGCAGCACAATAAAATGTCTGCCAGGATGCATAGGCGTATAGATACATTGAGTTCACTTCTTGTATTGCCCACTGCGCAATGTGACATGTGACATAATTTTTGGACGTCCAATTTCAGTCCACTGAAGGGGTTGTTTTGTAACGCCAGGCGACGTCTTTTGCACGTCTAATATAGACTTCGGTGGGACCAAATGTGGTCGTTTGTGGACGTCTTTTCAACATCAAATTTAGTATCTTCTATAACTTCTATAACCGTAGTCCCATGTTTCAAAAAGGTAGAGAACATTTTTAAAGGATGTTATCTGTACCATGTATTTATATTTATGCATTTGACACATGCTTTTATCCACAGTGACTTACATTGCACTTTTACATTCCTTTTTCCCTGGGAATCAAACCCTTAATCTAAGCATTGCACTAGGTGGCTGTATCACAAGTGCCAACGCTCTACTGTTTGAGCAACAGCATTACACCTTTGTACGTGTCAATTACCACCTTCTGCTTGAGACAATCAAATGCAGTTTTTGGAAAACTATCTTAAATAATTATAAATAATCTGTATTCATATGTATTAATCATGTTGATAACATAAGATATTTGTAAATAAAAAAAAAACATTGCATATTAATCATGTAAATTTCCTGCACCTTAATAGACGCCCAAATGAGGTCCAAAAAATGACCCAGTTCAACGGTCAAATGTTGAACGTCAACATGACATCCAAATTGGGTCATGGTTGGACGTCCAAATAGTGGACCTAGTTTGGACGTCGAATAGATGTCCAGAATTGGTCATGGACCAACGGACCCAATATAGACATGATCTGCACGTCTATCCGACGTCCAGTGTTTAGTGGGTGGGGTTATGCTCTAGACATGTTTTGTAATATGTTAAGCACAAGAGAATCAACTTATTGTATTAATATAAAGGTGAAGTTTACAAAAAAAAAAAATGACTCATGACCTCAAGGTTGTAAACATAGGGTCATGCAAGCGGACAATAGTCAACTTCAAAAACGATGAAAAAAGCTTGACATTAAGACTAAAAGTGAAGTCTCGTGCAAATAGATTTAAATGGCTTTTATACAAAGGAGTTTTAGTCTTAGGCTCAATCCCAATTCACCCCTTGGCCCTTAAAACAAAGTTACAAGGGTCAAGGGGTTGAAATATTCCCCTACGAAATGGAACAGCCCTTCATGAACCCGATACGTCATCAGTCGTCGGCGATGGCTCTGCCGTTACAGAGTTTTTACAGGATTTCTCCATGACAACGACTGACAATCAGCGCAGCTGCTCTTAACTTTGAGGAAACATGCTGATCATAACATTCCTTCCTTGAAATCTATGTCTTTTCTGATTCGGAAAGGCAATTTATTGTACAATTTCTTAAGTTAAATGACTATAGTATTATTAGAAGAGTAAATAAAGTGCATGGTGGTATCATCTGCCACTAAATTTAAATGTCTAACCGTTTGCGAAGCCATATCGCTGGTTATTCGCGATGCATTATGTGAACTATTTAGCCCTACCCCTTCGCCCTACCCTTCAATCTAAACAAGAATCGGGACACCATACCCCTGGACGTGAACGTGCAAAATGGAGGGGTAGGGGCAAGGGGTGAAATGGGAAGTCTTACTGTTTATAATTTCAACCTGTTTTGCAACTTTACCTGTGGAAAAGACAACATTTCTAGACACAAGTTTGTAGTCCACGATGGAGAACTGTGGGAGCTCGATACGTGCCACACCAGTAACTGCGTTTTCTCCTCCCTTCCAGTAAAACTCGATGTCATCTGTTGTGTATCCATCTACAGGAAAAATATAAATCAAATTTGTCAAGGAGTAAAACATAAATTACTGGACCAAAGTATATCAGATCACATATCATGTTTTAGTGATCTGAGCTTAAAATGTTGTTATATTTTTATCGCTTTAAGTGAATGTTGGTCCCTTTCCTTTATCTCAATAATCACAGCATCTCTGTCTAAATTATGTTGAATACCAATGCTTGTTCTTTTTAAAAAAAACTACATTTCCCTCATTTACAATTGTAAGGATGCAGTCCCTGGAAATAGCGTTTCTTTTCCATAATTGGTATGTGTAACATATGCTGAAGAAAAAAAAGGCAGCACAAGTGCATTGTTAGCATAATCATGAGTATGAGCATGTGTTTTGTGTAGGGAGCTGTCAGGGGGTCAGACGTCCCACTGTGACACAGACCGTTCCATTTCATACCATTGCTGTGTTTGTGATGAGCACCATAATGAGCGAGGTGGTTTTATTCAGTTAACTGATTAACAAGGTAAGCTAAAACTTCATTTTGCATTCAGTTTAAAATAATTAGTCATATAATCATACAAAAAAGGTTTGATTATAAGCTACACTATTCAGTAAGGAAGCATTCAATTGATCAAGTGACAGTCAAAAATTTATAATGTCACAAAAAAATATATTTTAAATAAATGCTGTTCTTTTGAACTTCTTTCTATTCACCAGTTTTCACCAAATTGTCAACATTGATAAGAAAGGTTTCTTGAGCAGCAAATCATCATATTAGAATGATTTTTGAATGATCATGTGACACTGAAGACTTGAGTAAAGATGCTTAGCTTTGCCATCACAGAATAAATTGCATGTTAAAATATATTACAAAAAGAAAACCGTTTTTTAACTTGTAATAATATTTCACAATAGTACTGTTTTACTGTATTTCCGATCAAATAAATGTTGTATTTCTGTATACTGTATTTCCGATCAAAGTATGGTATAAAGAAATCTAATCAAAACCTGAAAAGAAGTTCAATTGTAAAAGGGTAAACATTTATAATTATAATTTTAGGCACTACAGTTGAAAAATACGACATTATATAAATGTAAATTCTATTTTATTTGTAAAAATGACTATGCTTGCTCGCCAGTGAGAAAAACACTAAACTACTGTAAAAAAAAATATTTTCATGATTTATAATCAGAACATTTTTTCTTTTGTCAAATCAACTTAAATAATTTATATAGTTCAGATAACATAATATTTTGAGTTTCTGATGACTAACTCAATCTTCTTCATTGTATTAACTCACTCTTCCCATTTCAATGAACATAAAATTTTAAGGCAACAGGGTTACTTCATTTTTTAAGTTAAACCAACAATATTTTTTTACAGTGTGACTAATATAAACCAGCTAGGAACAGCATGGTAATGTCTGCTGGTCTTTGCAGCAGGGTGTGTGTAAATGAGTGAAAATAGAGAACACTTACAACTCTCTATCTCCAGAGTGCAGTTCTGTTCATCTAATGGATACCTTCTCAGATCCATCATGCAAGCGGCAGTGGTGGTGATTCTAGAAACACAGAAACACACACATACAGGTTACAGGAAAATTGAAGCCACAATTCTATACATTCATGTGTTTACAGCTCTTCTACAGTATATATAGTGGGTTCCACACTTGCTCAACAACACTGCAAAACTTTTGTGTATCCAGTATCTGTGTAAACAGGACGAGCAAGATGGAACAAATTAAAATATGGCTCCTCCTGCCCTTCAAAAAGGCCTTTGAACCAAATATAGAATGGAGCATGCATATGCATCAGTGGACAAGAACAAATAGTGCAGACTTGAATATGTGAAAATGCGAATTTTTTTGTCCCATTAAAGTGACTACTGATTAGTGGTACTTCAAGTTACCAAGCAAGCTCAAATGCCCATATTTCATCTAATAAAATATCCCATTCATCATGTCACTTTGCTACAAGTGTGAGCTTAGAGTCAAATGTGATGATAAATGTTCTTTGTAAATCAATAATATCCATGAACATTTTAAGTGAGGTTTGGTTTCTCATCCAGGTAACAATACAGTCCAGGTATCGATTTAACTTCCTGGTAACAATTGAAATAAGCAATAAGCATATCATAAGAGGAAGATCATGTTCAATCCTTCTATTCTTATCTGGATAAATGCAGGGTCTAACCAAGGTCTTCTCTGGCAGGGAGGTTTTATTTCTATTATAAAATAATTTTTGTATGGCGAAATCATCAGTAATTCAGCGATTTCAACAGGAATTCATACGACTGGGCATTTTGTGAGGGCATAGGCAGATTTCGCTTCAAGCATTGACCAACAGAATGCTTTGGTTTGGTTTATTCATTACTACACTATTGACAAGAGACAGTAGACGTTAAAGTGTTGCAACTTCACCTTAAACCGTGTTTTATGCATCGCTACAGTGTTGTTAATGGACAACAGAATTTTTTAGCTTTCGATTGACAAATTGATTTGTTTTTATCCCTCTAGTAAAATATTCCAACAACATAGTAAAGCAGTCGTTACACTTTTTTTTTTTAAATATGAGCATATAGCATTGCTTTAGATTGGGTTGTTACTATGTTTCAGAGGCCCTTCCTTCCTAGAGGAGGTAAATTAAAGAGGAAACTCAATGTCTTCATTCCATCGTCAGAGTCGTTTTAATGAGAGCACACTAAAATGCCTTACCATAAATATGCAAGCTCTTCTTTCTTTAATGACGCCCAGCTCAGGCAAACAAATAAAAGCCCTCCATCCACACTATTGCTTCGTCAAACTACAAAATGTGCATTATATAGCCAGGGAACTTCCTAGATGAACTGTAAAATGATGTTCAATGGATTGCTGATGTTACATTTGAGCGCAAGGAGATAAATCACAAAAGGACGGAAATGGTTCAATAAACTTTATAAGCAAGAACCATTCATTAGCATATGGCTGCATTAGTCCACAGGATCTCATTTGGAACAAAACGAAAAGCTAAATTAGGCTACGGTAACTGGCTCATAGTGCACTCCAGCTGGTACAGAGGAGGAAAGAGCAATGCAGCTCATCAGACTCTGATAACACTGAAGAGTTTTAACAAGATAAAGGCACACATTAGCACTTAGGCAAATTAGTTGACAAATACACTGGCCAAAAAAGGGCAAGCTCTCATGATCTGTTTGTTTGCTGAAGATACATACTTTCATACCCTTCCCTCGTTAGTTAAAATGTCAAATACAAACAAACGTGAAAAGTATTTTGTGAAAAACATTTTGAATGGACATTTTGGATTAAAAAAAGTTCATTTAACTGTATTTTTTTACAAAAAATAAAAAGTACTTTTTAAGCATTGTATTGTTATTTAAGATGGTTGTATATTTGCCATACTGATAATTAAAAACAAAATGGAAATTTACAGCCAAGACAAACAATACTGAAAATAACAATTTCGCTCATTTTCACATGCAGTCTCAATGTGAAAGGTTACCCCAATAATCAAAACTAGCAAGTAATACCCTCCCAATATTTATACCATGGTTAATGGAAACATATAGAATCAAGCAATTAATTAATTATATACATCTCACATTCGGAGCTTTTTTAAGTGCCAAGTTCCCGTACAACTTAAATGGACCAATTATCTGCACAACATGACTAAAGCCCAATTATATTATTTTGCATGAGTGGCGTGAGAATCACCATATATTGAGTGTATTTACATTACAGCTGATTATAAAATGTGCAACCCATTATAATTCAATTGAGAATTTCCCACTTTAAAACACTATGAAGAAAGTCAAACATGATCTAAAACAGCCACATAAATTATGAAAAGAGAAGAAAACATCATATCGCACCAACATGAATTAGAAAGCTTGTTAAACTAATTATGATTGATCATGTTTTATTGTATTTGTTGTGGTAAATTTTGACTTAGTACAACATAGAATCAAGAGCTTTAAAGTCTGGACCTTCTTGAATTATTATCAGTTTGTTCTAATGATGACTGAATGATATTAGGAAAAACCTGGCCTTCAGATATTCTAAGAGATGACATGACATCCTGTTTGAGGGCCTGGTTATGTGATCATTTAGTTCTCACCTTAATCCATAAAGAACTGTGCCATCTGGGTGCAAGCGGATCATGCGGTTCTTCACCGTGACGCCATGGACAAAAGACTTCTTGTCATTTAGGAAATACGTGTCAGGAACCCAGAGTTGGTCAGCTACCCGGTTGTCTAGAGTAAGATTGAGAGGGATCCCAGAATATGCTAGCCGCTTGTCCCTCCAATACTGCTGGAAATACATGGTCAATGTGTAGTCCTGTAGAAAAATCAAAGAGAAACCATTAGACCACGGTTCATTTTATTAAACAAAATGATTATAAAAACGCATCCACAGCATTTAGCCAAATTAACCATAATATTTACACTGCAATTTGTATAGAAACAATAGAGCAAATAAAAAAAATCATTAACAATTGTGTTAACAAACCTAATGCAATATGCTAATAAGAAGATAGTAGCTCAAAACATATAAAACAACATATGTCAAATATTGCCTCTCTGTGTCTTCCATTTATTTCCATTTGTGAACTTTCTTCATGAGGCACTCACTAGGTAACAAAAACAAAAACACGTACCTACATTTTCACAATAAATTGTGATGATACACGTCAACACGTGATATATTTAGGACCATGTGATCATAAATGACAAAATTACTTCTTCAAAGTGAACATCAAACCCTTAGCAAACAGTCTTGTAAAAAGAAAAAAAAAATACTTGAGAAAGCATTAAGCTGCTCACTTTTGAGTGACCCTTCAAGACGTGTCCCCTTCTCGTAGCGTCCCTAAAGGACGTTCAGAATTCACCCTAGATTTTGGAACAGAGCTCATGCACTCTGTTTTTCCTGAAGGGTCAAAACAAAAGTGTCAAGGTCAGAAACAGAAATCTAAAGGCTGTGGCCTTCAGCAAATAGATTTTCTGTTGTCTGAGTAATATTTATAGAAGTGTCAAAGTAAGATTGAAAACAAGCTGCCTTCGGCTTCCATCTTTCATGTCTGTCTGCCACGAAGATGCTGCATGGCCGTCTCCGCGAGGCAGTCTGGTGTGTGCTGCACGGGCTACGGATTTACATTACCATTGCCATGTAGTCTCAATAGTCAACTCGACATCAGCTCGTAGAGCTATACTATACGACTTCAGCGATTCACAGTATAGAAATTCAATCAAACTAAAGCACTGGCATGATAGGCCTTATTTGGGCCGCCTCTGAAACTCAATGAATTTTAAAAAGGGCTGAAATCACAAAATTGGTGGATCTTATTTGTCCCCAGGGTCAAATTTGAACCTCTGAAATCCAGTAGGAAGCGTGGATGTGTGTACTTTGAGATTCTGCTATTAGGTACTCATGGGTAAAATGAAGACCTGACATGCTGTCCACCGCAATGTGCACAACCTGTTGATGTAATAAGAAGTAATTCACTTAGAAACATATGTTAGAACGGGCTATGGTCCCTGGGGCTGCCTTCAGACTGTGCCAGCTGAGCAGAGGCTGTGCAAGAGAGCGTGTAAGCTGAGTTCATTAGCTAACGAGATGAGGGGGGACGACATGACAGGGACACCTTCTTTATGATTATCAATGTCTGTGATTCCCTCTCTCTCTCTGTCTTCCATTTATTCCAGCTCTATTCTTCTTCCTGCATCTTATTCTCCTCCTTTCTTCTTTTATGCCCTTCTGTAAGGCTTTTGTTTTAATGAATCCCCTAAATGACACTGATGGATACAATTCTTTCTCACAATAAATTATACCCTACATTACCAAAAGTAATACTAATGCGCAATTAGTAAATGCTTCAAAGTTCTTACCCCAGTCAATGAAAATGCAAATTCCGTCATCATTTACTCACCTCCATATCATTTGAACCCCTACGGCTTTCTTGTTTCTTTTGAAACTTAAAATCTTCAAAGTCAATGTGACTTAAAGTCAATGTACAAAAATATTAATCAAATAAGTGTGTTTTGCAGAAAAAAATCATATAGGCTTGAACAGCAATAGGGCATGTAAATGAAGACAGAATTTTCATTTTGGGATGAAAAGCAATAAACTTAAGTAGCAATACAATATTGGGTTATATATACGGTCGGACACCATTAAGATATTTTGGGGTCTATAAGATTTTTCTTATATGCAAATACATTAACATTGTTAGAAAATATTGCTGCTCGTTCGAACTTTATATTCATCAAATAATCGTGGGGGAAAAGTGTTATGGTTACCACAAAAATATTCATCAGCAAAAGTTTCGAATATTTCTAAACGTTTTTCAACACTGATTAAAAAAAAAAAGAATAATAATAAAAATTTTGATGCAAATCAGCATATTGAAATGATTTCTGAAGGATCATGTGACACTGAAGACTGAAGTAATGACGCTGAAAATTCAGCTCTAGCATCACACGAATGAATTACATTTTAAAACATTAAAAAAGCAAACTTTTATATTGAATTTTAATAATATTATACTATTATACATTTTTGATCAAATAATTATGCAAGCTTGTTTCTGCCACAGAATGGAAAACAAAAAAGGTAAAGGTGACTTTTTTTCTCACAATTGCAAGTTTACATCTCGCAATTCTGACTTTATTTCTCTGAATTGCGTGATATAAAGTCGCAATTGCATGTTATAATGTCAGAATTGCGAGATATAAAGTGAGAATTGCGTGATATAAAGTCGCAATTGCGTGTTATAAAATCAAAATTGCGAGATATAGAGTCAAAATTGCAAGATAGTCGTAATTGCGTGTTATAAAGTCAGAAATGCATGATATAAAGTCGAAATTGCGTGTTGTAAAGTCAAAATTGTGAGATATAAAATATTCTGAGGGTGGGTCGATTCTTAGAATTGGTCTGATAACTCGCAATTGCAAGTTTATATCTCACAATTCTGAGAAAAAATGTCAGAATTTCGACATATAAACTAGCAATTATTTGTTATAAAGTCAGAATTGTGAGATGTAAACTTGCAATTGTGAGAAAAAAAAAGTCAGAATCGCTCTTCTGTCATTTTTTCTCAGAATTGCGACTTTATATCACGCAATTCTGAATTTATCTTGCAATTCTGACTTCATATCTCGCAAATGTGAAATAAAAAGTCACAATTATCATATTTTATTTTTTTATTCAGTGGCGGGAACAAGCTTCCATAAGTAATTGACACCTTGGTAAGTGACTTCCTTTAAAAAAGTCATATATAAATCATTTAAAAAAAAAAATATATATATATATATATATATTTTCAACTATTTGTTATACAAGCAAAATTGTGCCAAATAGCTTGTTTAACTATATTTGCCAATTTGTCAACAAGTAGCTGGTAGCTTCACTCTATTTTCTGCACAGTTTTCCCAACAATATACAAATGCAATGGTTCTCTGGAGATGATGCAGAGGATACTCATCTCTCAAATACCTGTGTGTAGGGCCATTTGTGCTGGTAATGTTTTCCTAAATATTTTCCATACAATATAATCTTCACAGAGACACTCCCATCACAAATTACGCAAACGATAATGTTTATGAATGATTATACATAATCATGTACTGTCTGTATCACACACAGTCCATTAGTCAAACGTAATCCATACAAGCTAGAAGTGCACTAAAAACCAGTGTCGCTTTCAATGTTTAATAATGGAATAAACAGATGCAGTCGTGTTAGCTGAGCGATTCGATACTTGTGATATCTAGGGAACTGTGCAGCAGTGGTCACACAAAACATAAGGCATCAATCATTCATTACCAGGCAAAATTGTATAGTAGTAGATTCAAGCTGCAAGAAGAAAACAGCTAAAAATAAAGGCATCTTAAGATGCTGCTTGCAACATCACAGGGTATGACTCCACAGTAAATCATTGTTGTTGTTCTCCACTGAGAGGGATTCCCTCATGATAAAGTGACACCACATTCTGACATATACACTACTTCCCCTGTCCCACAGATACAAATAACAGATGAAACGCAAGAGAAACAAACAGAGAGACAATATTTCAAATCTGAAACTGACAATCTATTTATGTAGGGGCTGCTATCAAACACATGGGCACTCGCAAAAAAAATAAGACCCTGCTAGATTCAGATTACAGTTACAAGGCTGGATAATGTATTTTTATTTTATTATAAAATAATTACATTTATTATAAATAATAATACTAATAACTAATAATAATTAGGGCTGTGAAACGATTAATCGCGATTAATCACATCCAAAATAAAAGTTTGTGTTTACATAATATATGTGTGTGTAGTGTGTATAATTATTTTGTATATATAAACACAACACACATGCATGTATATATTTATGACATATTTGCGTGTATATAATTTATACATATTTATAGAAAATTAATATTACATAAATATAAATATTTGATATAACACACATTTTTCTTAAACATATATATGCATATGTGTGTATTTATATATACAAAATAATTATACCCACCACACACACATATATTATGTAAACACAAAACTATAATTATATATATTTATAATATAATACTAATATTATTATTAACAATCTGGAGTGACTTATGACATAGAAACTACACTCTTCGCCATATTTACACCCTATAGTATTTGAAATTATGAATGTTTGTGAAGAGTATGATCAATCATAGAAAAGGAAAGAAAAATCCTGTCAATAAATGAGACCCTCTGGGAGGCTGAGGTGATAGTGTCATCAGCTGGGTGAGGAGTGTGTGCTCTCACACAAAGACAAGCTTTCAGCATGCCAGTCAGAGAGCATTTATGTCAACCAACCACCACCATGTCTGCTGGGAATACCAGAATAACAGCAATAAGAGAGACTCCTCTGTGCAGTGTCAGCATGAAAACTTCACTGAACCATAGTGTGGGTATTTAATTCGCTAGATTAAAAGATTGCTGTGTGTACTGTATAAACACACAAAAATGTGTAGCATTTAAAGATTAAGTATTTTTTTTCTATATTAAATCACTTTCTCTTATCCTAGCTTAATGTTCATTTCAGATTGATACTTTGATTAGAGAATGAATGACTCTTATGAACTGATTCTTGTTATAGGGAATCAAAAGCTTACAGTGCAGCCAATGTAGTCTGATTCATGAATGACTATATTGAGTTTACAAGTTTACAAAATCAGTGTAGTTACTTATACCAATGTGGAGTTAAATTGGTAAGATGATAATAAGATCATCTTACCAATAATAAGATGAAAAACACATTGTGTTTTTCATCTTATTATTATTTGTTTTTTTTTTCTTAAAGAATTAGTT